ACATTTTCTAAACGACATTGTATTCAGTTAAATATGATCATTTGAAATATCGCTAGGAATGAAATCAATGTCATTCTGTTACAATCATCAATAACTTGTATAAATACTCGAATATTATTTATAAACCCGTTTAGATGACAATGATTCTACGAAAAATATGTGATCTACGATATTTGTTTTATTCTACTTGCATTTCATCAAGCGCATGAAATTGTTGCGATAACGGTTATGCAGTCTCATGGTAGTCAGTGATCAATAATCGGTTCATACACCATTTGTTCCCCCCCCGGATCATGGAGCCGATATATACCATTGGTTTGGAATGAGGGTTTTCTAACTTCCCTAGATGGATCCTTCGTATCCATCGAGCCGGTTGTAGTGTCAGACATTCGATTTTCGTCCTTTCGATTTCGTAAACAACTATCTGGTCGCTTAATTAGGAATGTCCTGGTAGTGGTTGTATGTACTTGGTCATGTGAGAGCATTTCGAGAAGGAGAGCTGACTCTCCTCACTCTTGGCCGTACCATGGCATTTGGCGGCTGAGAAAACGGTACATTTATCATAGTTAAATATAACGTTGAGGATAGATAATACTATACAACTAACTAACTAACTGCTCAAACTGAAATATATAAAGTGTAGTTTCAAACTGTTTTACTTACTTACACCTGTTACCTCTCGTAGAGGTGCATAGATCGCCCCGATCAGGAGTTTCTATCGAACTCTATCCTAGGCTAATAATCTTAAACACATATAGATTATTCAAAACTTAATTGATTTAACTAGTAATCCAACAATTTCTCATAAGATTGATAAGATAACGATTTAACTAACTGTAGTAAACATATTCGTACATTGTTTATGAAACATAATCCTTTTTCAACATTATCATAACAATGTGGTACAACACATCAAATGATAAGGACAAAAAAAAACGAGATAAACACAGATACACATCAAGAAACCTCTCATTAGGAGAAGGAATCATACCAATTAATATAGATAATTCAGATTAAGTAACAATACAATTAACATGTAACATTAATTATTTCATTTACAAAACAAACAATTAAGATATTAGTACACATTTGTCAATTAATTTTTCATCATGACTCTACACTCCAGAGGTTAAGTGTTCGAGCGCGAGACCGAAAATCCCAAATTCAAGTCCCACATACAGGATCGTGAATGCGTACTACTGAGGAATCCCACACTGAAACGAAATGGCTGTCCATTGCTTACAAGTTTTCAATAGTGGTCTAGCTTAGACTGACTCGTGAATCCAACTGTGAAAACACAACAATCTTCACAAATCCTCATACTGATACCACATACATATAGTTATGACTTACAACGATGAAATAATACTTATTGAGTAGTCACGTTACGTTAATGATCTTGAGTAATTGGAAGAGGACTATAATAATAAAAGTAATTATTCGACAAATTAGACAGTCTAACTTCATTAATCGTTCTAGTCATAGATCAGTTGTAAAACACAGTATTCAGTCTGGTTTCATTAAAGGTTTTCCGTACTATCTTTCTTAACCTTTGAGTCAGATCACCACTGAAAACCTGGAAGAACTGAACGACCATTTTATCCTAGTATAGGACTCCTTAATAGTGCTCACTCATGTTCTCGTATACAGGACATGAATCCAGGATCTTCGTTCTCGTGTGTGAAAAGAATATTTTATCGATCAATCCGTACATATATAAGTGTTAATGAAAAGAAAAACAAACAAAGTATTTAATATAAACTTACGGTAAATTGTATCACTAAACAATCAACAAGTATTGAAACATTATTTGATAATAACATATAAATAGAAGCAGCAATATTTGAAGTGCACATTGTATGAAGTAGACAACATGCTATTCTATATGTTCTATTTGAATAGAAAATGTAAAAAAGAAAAGACAGGAAAAGTAAAGTAAAGTAAATAGACGAAATGATGATAAAATGAAAAAGATATGAACTTGATACAAATGAACATAGATCATTATATTTCAATTCGCTTGGTATTGTTTCTCTGAATCTTCCCATTGTTGTTAAGGACTCCAATTAATCAATCTCTTATTGGGATATGTGCATACTGTGCACATTGCCTCTATATTGCATTAATTCATAAGTATTATAAGCAAAGATGGATAATAGCTAGCAGTGGAATCCAGTTTGATGAACGTTCATCCTATTGGAGACTCAGTAGCTAAGTGGATAATGAAATAGCGTTTGAAGCAAACGGTACTGGGTTGGAATCCTAGAGTGAACAACAACTTTGAGATGCAGGTACATCTATCTGACGAGTCCCAAACAGGATGAATTAAGGCAATATCGAGGCAATACCCACAGTATGCACATATACCAATAAGAGATTGATCAATTACAGTCCGAACCAATGGTGCATACGGGCTCCATGATCCTGAGGGAATAAATGGAGTATGAACCTATTGTTGGTCACCGGCTACCATGGAACTGTATCTCCTAACGTTGCTCCACTGCCTTGTGGGTTAGACCTTTAGGTCAAAGGCTCGGGGAGTGGCCCCCTAAGAAAACCACCTGCTTCGGTTTGGGCACCCGGGCAGTATCACAGCCCACACACAAACGATGAACTCTATGTAATTGGCAACTACTTTTATCGCTCCGAAAAACAATCAGTCGATTCAAATAATTATCATTACTATTATTGTCATTATTAATACTATTATTATTACTATTATTGTCGTTATTATTATTATTATTATTTCCCACATTATTCACCCTCTTTTATACTTATACAGCGGCTCGTCTTTGGTGGAAATCCGACTGTATCTAAACGTTCTCGAGTCACTGTCCGGTTGAAAATTGTATGTTACCACCGAATATGAGGACTGAAGCAGTTTTTCTGAAACCACGTGCACCATTCAAACTGGCTGCCTTCAACGTTCGCACATTTATGCAGGTCGGACAACAGATAGGGCTGGCTATGTCTTTGGAAAGTCTTAATATTGATGTTTGTTGTCTATCCGAGACCCGTATTCAAGACTCTGGCGAAGTACTACAAATTCGATCTCCATCTGTCGCTTCGAAAAGCTTGTTTTACGTGCGCTTATCCGGGGACCCTGTGGCATCTTCGTCTGGTCTTGCTGGCGTTGGTGTCGCACTAAGCGCTAGAGCTGAGGCAGCACTAGTCGATTGGATCCCCATTAACAGTCGGTTATGTGCTGTTAGATTAGAAAGTTCCATCAAAGTGAGAAGAAATCGGCGTGAGAAACGATGTCTTTTCGTCATCTCCGCCTATGCCCCGACAGATTGCAGCCCGGATGCAATCAAGGATGAGTTTTACCACCAGTTATCTGTTCTTCTCCAGAAAGTGCGTTCGACAGATATTGTAGTACTAGCCGGAGACTTGAATGCTCAGGTCGGGCGTCTAGGCACAGAAGAGAGTCGTTTAGGTGGCCGATGGGGACTCGTTGGTCGCAGGTCAGATAACGGGGACCGTCTACTGCAACTTGCACAGACCACAACCTGTTTCTGGCTAGCACTAACTTTCGGCACAGTCATCGCCGATGTGCCACCTGGCGTCCTCCCTCTGCATCTCAAGCCTGGACTCAGATTGATCACATCGCGATCAGCTACCGCTGGCGTGGTTGTGTAAAAGACTGCCGCTCCTTTTGGAGTACCTATCTGGACTCTGACCATGCCTTGGTCTGCGCCAATCTTGCCTTACTTTTCAGTGGACAACGAAGTGACCACCACCAACGGATTGATGTTAGCAAGCTGGTTGCAACTTCTGTTGCAAGTAAGTATCGAACCGAGCTAGCCTCTAGGCTAGCTACCACTCCACCGAAAAGTATAGATGAGCATTGGTTGCAATTGCATGACGCCATGAAAATGGCGGGAACAGTCAGTTGTGGGTTTGCGAAACGTCCCGCTTTTAAGCACTGGGTTTCTTCTGGTTCCTTACAACTCATTGAAGCCCGTCGGTCTACTCCGGGTGACCGTGAGTTTGACCATAAACGAAGGATGTTACGTAAGGAAATTGGGCAAAGCTTGCGTAAGGACCGAGAAGCCTGGTGGTCGAAGCGTGCTAATGAGCTGGAAGCAGCAGCTGCATCTGGTAACTACCGGAAGCTCTTCCAGCTCATCCGAGCCACTGGCAGCAAGAAGTCTGGTGTGAGTGAAACAATCTGCGAGGATGATGGGATGCCAATCACTAACATCCATCGACGTCTTGGACGATGGGCAGAATTTTTCGAAGGGCAGTTCAACTGGCCTGCTGCTCCGGCAACATCGGTCAGACTGTCCTGCCCTCCATGGCCGGTGACGACTGATCCACCAAACGAGGAGGAAGTCCGCAAGGAACTCCAACTCTTGAAGCGTTACAAATCACCTGGCCCAGATGACTTACCTCCGGCTCTTTTTAAAGATGGTGGTGACTTTTTGACTAAGGAATTGACGACGTTGTTTACAAAGGTTTGGGAACTAGAGAGTGTACCAACGTCATGGAATGAGTCGATAGTTGTCCCTATCTTTAAAAAGGGTTCACGTCGTTCCTGTAACAACTATCGGGGGATAAGTCTACTTCCGATTGCGTCCAAGCTATTGGCTTCCGTCATACTTCGTAGGTTGTTCAAAACCCGAGAAAGATTGACTCGCGAGGAGCAGGCTGGGTTTCGTTCTGGTCGAGGATGTATTGATCATATCTTCACCCTCCGCCAAATGTTAGAACACCGCCATACTTTTCAAAGGCCAACAATCGTAGTGTTTCTTGACATCAGGGCTGCCTTCGATTCGTTGGACAGGACTGTTCTCTGGGATTGTCTATTGAAGAAGGGTGTGCCTGAGAAGTTTATTAACATCCTAAAAGCCCTATATAAAAACACCTCAGGCAGAGTGAGGGCATACAACCACCTCTCTCCATTGTTCCATTCGAGCAGTGGGGTTAGGCAGGGTTGCCCAATCTCACCATTCCTCTTCAACTTTGCCATCGATGACATTCTGGAAACAGCTCTGATGAATGTAAGTAATGGTGGTGTGGATCTGTTGCCTGGAGAAAGACTTCTCGACCTTGAGTATGCGGACGATATTGTCTTACTGTGCGATAATGCCCAAGGCATGCAATCCGCACTTAATCAGTTGGCAATCAGTGTCCGTAGGTATGGTATGTGCTTTGCACCTTCGAAGTGCAAAGTACTTCTACAAGACTGGCAGGATTCTAATCCTGTACTCACCCTGGATGGTGAGCAGATAGACGTAGTCGAGAAGTTCGTGTATCTGGGTAGCTGCATAAGTGCTGGTGGGGGTGTGAGTGATGAGATCAATGCACGAATAGTGAAAGCCAGAGCGGCTTATGCCAATCTGGGCCACCTTTGGCGCCTTCGTGATGTTAGTCTGGCTGTAAAAGGTCGGATCTACAACGCGTCGGTGAGAGCAGTTTTGCTCTATGCTTGTGAAACCTGGCCTCTCCGAGTTGAGGACGTTAGACGACTCTCTGTGTTCGATCATCGCTGTCTCCGAAGGATTGCTGACATTCAGTGGCAACACCATGTCAGTAATGCAGAGGTTCGGCATCGTGTGTTCGGGCACAGAGATGATAATTCAATTGGTGTCACCATCTTGAAACACCGACTTCGGTGGCTTGGACATGTTCTCCGAATGTCGTCCCAGAGAATTCCACGTCGTGCATTATTTGCCGACTCTGGGACTGGTTGGAAGAAGCGGAGAGGTGGTCAGTGCATGACATGGTGTCGTGGCATGAAAGAAAGCTGCAAAGGACTGGCTTGTGTTGGTCCTTCACGACTCCCTGGTTGGGGTCTGAGAGATGGTGCTACACAGTGGCTAGAGACGTTATCAGATATGGCTCAGAATAGAAGCCAGTGGCGATCCTGCTGTAACCTTCTTTTACTTTCTTCATAAAAAGTGGTTCTGTCTCCCTTACCTGAAAGATTTCTTCCGATTGTACCTTTGCGTTCCCTGATTACTAGCACATTACCTTACACCAATCTCTTCGTTATTGTTCTCTCTTTTTTTGTTGCGCTCCTTAGCTTTTTTTTCTTTGTATTCCTCTCGAATTTTCATTGTTTTGTGTGGCGCATATATATTGGCGCTCTCTTGTACCAATATTCATGTGTCCAAATAAATAAATAAATAATAAACCTCCTTACACCAATGTTTGTGATCAGATAAATAAATAAATATCTTAAAGCTGAAAATATAAACCCATACTCGATAAACGTGTTATATACATTTATTCACCTAATTATAGCAGTGGAGATAACGACTTACTTCTCCGGGACTAATTGTTTTGAACTAGGCTTCTGTTCTCGAATTAAACCAATGAAATTCACCAGAATTGACAGCAAACCATTAGCGAGACAAATTTGTCGATCTGCTAAATTAACTGACTGACTTTGATTTTCATTATCTGGTAAAATGGAATGAGTCTGTGAAAAAAAATAAAATGAGTACATATGGTTAGGTGCACTATGCAACAGTCAGCTCTAATAAGCAATGTAGAACCTGAAAAACATGTACATCAGTTCAAAATTGACATACTATATCAGTACAGCTAGATTCAGAGATTCAAACAAACTATGAGCAACTATCTAACATCTTAGCAAAATGTATAATGATTTAGATTAGTGAGTATATTGGCCCCCAAATGCCCTGGTATGGCCGAGTGGGGAGAGTCCACTCTCCCTCTCCAAATGTTCTCACATGGCCACGCGTATATAGCCTCTGCCAAAAAAGTCCTACTCACTGCCTTCTCGTGATGGGGTGTTGTTTACGAAAATGAGAGGACGAAAAGCGAATGTCCGGCGCCTTAACCGGATTCCAAATCAATGGTGCACATGGGCTCCAGTATCCTGAAGGAAGAAATGGCGTATGAACCAATTGTTGGTCACCGACTACCATGGGAATGCATCTCCTTACGATGCTCCATTGCCTTGTGGATCAGACCTTCAGGTCGAAGGCTTGGGGAGTGGCCCCCTAAGAAAATAACCTGCTTCGGTTTTGGCACCCGGGCAGTATCACAGCCTTCACACATATCGAATGAGATTTGTGTGGTTCATATGTATTTGGTGCCTCTTTGTATCAGTATCTACGTGTTGAAATAAAATAAATAATATTGAAACTTTATCGATAGAATTTGGTCGATATAATAAGCTAGAAAAACATTACTGCTCATTGGTTAATCAACATAAATCTCTCAATTCGACAGAGGATCAGTTGTGATTAATAAGGTCTAAGACCTTGAAAATAAATAACCTGCAGTCAAACCCAACAGGGAATTCACAGGGTACACCCTATCAACTATCTTCAACTATTTAATATCAATTACAAATTGTGTATTTGCGAATATAGAAAATGAAGAAGAAAAAAAAAACGTTTTATTAGAATTGAACAAAGTTATGAATAATGAGAAGAGTCAATGAATAAACTCACTTTTGATTGATCATTAGAAATACATCGTAATAAACTATTTAAACATTTTTCCATAGCTTGAACTCGTGTAATTACCCATGGACCAGAATCAGGAAGATTGAGAAAACGACGAGCATTTTTGATTAATTTAATTAGACTAAATAGTGTAAATGTATAGCATTAATGAATATAATAGGAGTTATTTTTATTTGATTTAAATACATAAAAATCGGTACAACCAGGCACCATATAAATCATTCGATTTGTATGAGGGTTAAAATACTGCTCGGGTGCCCAAACCAAAGCAGGTGGTTTTCTTACGGGACCACACCCGGAGCCTTTGATATAAAGTTTAATCTACAAGGCAGTGGAGCAACGTTAGGAGATGCAGTTCCATGATAGCCGGTGACCAACAATAGGTTCATACGCCATTTGTTCCTTCAGGATCATGGAGCCCATGTACACTATTGGGTTGGAATGAGTGTTTTCCAATTCCCCAGGTGGACTCTCCGTCTCTACCAAGCCAGTTAAAGTACCGGTCATTCGCTTTTAGTCCTCTCAATTTCGTAAACAACAATACTGCCGCAAGAAGGCAGTGAGTAGAACTTCCCTGGCAATGTTTTCATGCACGTGGCCATGTGAGAGCATTTCGAGAGGGAGAGCTGACTCTCCCCGCTCTTGGCCGTACCAGGGCATTTGGGGGCTATAACATTTTCTTCAAGGACGTTTTTTTCTAAGTCATCATGGTAATGAAACACGAAGATTGTATAAAAGTAATAGCTACAACTGCAACAAACATAAATATATATGCTCATTTCTATTCTCACCAACTTTCTTTAAGCTGAAAAAAATCCTTTCTGGCTGGAGTTTCCCTTAACTGAACTGCTTCTATCATTAATTATTTACACTCGTTTTTTTTCACATTATACTCACCTTTCTTCCTTTATCTTTTCCCAATCTTATTTTTCTTACTGTATGACGTACATCGATTTTGGTACCCTTTTTGTATCAATATTCATATGTTTAAATATAGTAAGCTGCATTAACAGTGGGAATGCAGAAATTGACAGCAGTTCGTTCTGTTTTACTTTACAGCTGCGAAATGTGGCCATTAAGAGTAGAAGATATTCGTAAACTACTAGTATTTGACCACAAATATCTTAGAAATATTGCTCGCATCTGCTGGGATCATCGGGTAAGTAATAGTGAGGTTAGACACAGGGTATTAGGGAATAATAGTGGTAAATCAGTTGATGAGGTTGTGAATCTTCATCGACTGAGATGGTTGGGCCACGTGTTACGTATGCCTGAACACCGATTACCACGACGCGCAATGCTGACTAGTGTCATGGATGGTTAGAAGAAAATTAGGGGTGGCCAAACCAAAACGTTGCACCATTGCTCGAAGTCACTAACTTCTAGTCTGAGCCATGTTGGTAGATGCAGACTACTTGGTTGGGTTCCGCGTGACTATCGTAATCAATGGTTGGAGACTATTGGTGACATGGCTCACAATCGATCACAATGGCGTCGATATATACACTCACTGTCTTCCCTTAAACTATGAAATTAAAATCGCGTCATATGTTTCTACCAACTCGTTCTTTCTTCCTGTACTATATCCTTATATACAATCTTCCTTTTATATATTACTACCATAGAAGTAACTACTTCTATGAATTTGGTGTTCATCTTGTGTTAATGAGGTATGGCAACTTGGACCAATGCATATATGTTCCTGGTCCTACGTTGTAACTGACTAACCTAGTTGGATAATGCGATGAGAAGGCATCCAAAAAATGGGTCTATATTACCTTACCAAACAGGGTTGACTCAAATAGTCTCATGTTAAAACAAAGACTTAGATTAGCTATCAACAGGATAATTTATGCAGTCCAACTCCTCATCATCAAGAAGTCAAGGTTTATGTCACATCATATCTCATTACATCAATCAATTTATAAGTAAGTGCGGGAATATGTACAAAGAGAGGAGTAATCAGGATTGCAAGTAGGGACTAGCTCAACATGTTATGATTTTATGTCCGGCTTTTTATCACGTGATTTATCCACCAATCAAAATACGACTCATACAATCCCAGCACTGTGTCAAACCAATGACGTTCGAGCGGTATGAGCAGCCTAGCGTCCTTATTCGTCCTATGTCCGCCTAATCCGTCCACTTGAGTCCAGAACACCAATACCAGCTTCCAATATGCGAATCGAGTCATCATTTATTTCAGACATACTTGGTTTATATATCAACCAAACAGACCGCAACGCGGAGGTTGATTACGAATACAGTGGTCTTGAGTGCAGTTAAAGGTATGAGGGCGATTATCACTTCCCGGTTGCCCACACCGTGGAAGGGTTCTTCTGGAGGTACCTGAAAAGGAAATCGGATTAGAGGTGATCTTAGTGACCTGAGAACGTGACCCCAGTGCCCAAGGGACAACTGCTTGAGGTCGGTCACACACGACCTTTTTATGGGTAATTTTTGTGTTAGCTCCGTACTTGTTGAGACCTTATCGCCGGAGACGGATATCCGTGGGGTAAGGCGAGGTATGCATTTTTAGGGTCGACCTTTTCTAACCCCACTTCTCCTTGTGGGAAGGCAGCATCGCTGTCATGCTGGTAGTCTGGAGGAAACACCTTACTGCTGTCACACCTCTGTACAGTCAGCAATACAACTTCGCCTTCGGACCTTGGGTTTGTTGCTTTTGTTCTTACCGCTCTTCAACCGACCTGTCTGACATGGTAGGACCTTGAGGAACGGTTGTTACAGCCAGTATAGCTCGGTTGCTTCATCACGATGGGCAAGCCCGCCCACCACGTCAAGGTAGCAACAACGGTTGGGAGACCGCAACGCACCATAAAATAGGAAATAACATTTGTACACAATAAAGCCAAAAAGTGGCTGTGAACGTGGGAGGCAGTAGTCAATAGACTGGGAATAACTTAAGAACCGTAAATCGTACAATAATAAATTATAGGTCAAAATAAAGCATATAACAAGGGGAATATAGATATACATAATCTAGTTACCGAATATTTATACCATGAGAATATATAAATAATAATAGTCCATTAATAAGTCTCAGACGTTACTCGTAATGTAATCTTCACTAGGATATAACACAACACATACTTAAATAGCTGAAAAAACAAATGAATTCTTATAGTCAAAGAAGATGAGATGATAGACAAATATCTTCCTACATTGTGAAATATTTAGCTGAGATTGGTCATACTGTTGATATTAAGTCAGACTTTGTAGTGTGTTATACAAATGTGCTGAGGTGTATACTAAAGTTTATTGAACCTTTGAGTTCACCTTTTTATTAATAATATTAATGGTGGAATTCACAATGTTTGTTTGAAGTAGTCATATTAAGGTAAATTCATCAATTTACACATCAACAAGCCAAATAGAAAGAATACGGTAAGCCATTGACTAGAGACCATCAACAATAAACTACTATGGCATAGAACAAACCAGTTTACAGTTGAAGAAGAAATTAAGAAACGATGATGGAGATAGATAGGATAATACACTATG